CAGTTTATGTGGGTTAGGAGTTTAGGAATGGCTTGGTTTGGATACTTTGGTTCTGCCTGAAGGCTTGACAGGGACTGGACAGTTTACTTCCAGCATGACTCTTTCCAAGTGGCTGTGGGCCAGTTATCCACCATAAGGGTTTCTTCTAATACTGCTGAATGTCTGACCACAGGGTCACCAAATTTCCTCAGAGCAAATATTTCAAGACACCAGGGAATGACCTGGTTTAGGAAGTCACACTGTTATTTCCAGGCTCCTGTACTTACATTAGCTAATTCTGAGGGCAGTATATGACATGGCATGAATAACAGGAAGGAAGGGGGGCTTTTTGTAATCCATTCAGCATGCTGTACCAATAATGCCATAAATTGGAAAGCTTAGAGACAGCAAAAATCCATTTCCCTCAGTTCTGGAGGCTGAGGTCAAGATCAAAGCACTGATACCTTTAGGGTTCAGAAGGGGCTCTATCATTGATTCACTGATGACACCTTCTTGCTGTGTTCTCAGTAGTTGAAGGGTCAGTGCAGCTCTCTGTGGTCCTTTTATAAAGGTCCCGGTCCTATTTATGTGGGCCCTATCCTTGTGATCTAATCATCTCCAGAGTCTCATTCCTGAATACTATGGCATCAAAGGTTAAGATTTCAACCTATGAATTTAAGGAGAGGTCATGAAATTTGGACTATAGCAGGGGCTCTCCTGAGGTTGGTAACATCACTATTATCTACAGCTGTCAGGAACAATCAGTTTAGGAACAACGGGAGTCTACTGTTCAACATTATGGCTCAATGAGGAGACCATCATCCTTGGGCACTGGCTTTGTTGTGGACCAAAAATTGTCAGTGACTGGTTTTGCATATTTCTATATGGGATAAAAGGAAAAATTGGGATTATCGGTACCACCTGTTTGAGATTTCCCATTGACTCTTCCAAGCGTAAGATTATCTATGCTTATTTAGATCACCATGGGATTATACTTGGGTTAAGATACTTGAAACATAGAATTATCTATGCCCTCTGGAATTGGAGTCCTTGGATGAATTATAAATCTTTGCTAGACCCACCTTTCACTGTACAGATAAAATAAATAGTGACTGTTTTAGGAGTGGATGAAGTTGGATCCAGAGACATTGATTTTCAGCCATGGAATGGCTGAAAATATGATACTTGTCTCTTTTTAAAATTTTTCTCATGACATTCTTGAGACTGACAATTGGGACTCTTGGCCAAGTTCCTGATAGGCTTGTACAAAATTTTGTATTATTATTGTTCTTGAGTTTATTTGTGAACAGAAGAATCCTATGGGTTAGTTTCATTTCCTGATATCCTTTCTGGAAAGGAGAGCTTAATTTCTTTTGTGATTTGGGCACACATTTTATAAGGAAATAGCATTATTTTCTTTTCTTGTGAACCTCACTATCGTACCTAAGTACAATCCTGGGAAAGGTTTACAAGCAGCCAGAGGATGCTGCAAGACAACCCATAATTAACAGTAACTACCATAGTGTCTCTTTCTTTGAAATAGTTGAGCATAACTTCATATATGATAGTACCAACCATAACAAAATAGTATGAAACCATTCAAGAGAATAAAAGTATTACAGGGCATTCAGAACCAAATAACACAAAATGAACAATGGCCACTATATTATCTCATTTTCCATAGAAAATTTGTTTATATTATTATACATAATAAAATCCAGTAAAATGTAATATGATAGAACCAGTGGAAACAGAAGAATAAAAGTATGGTAGGACCTCTATGTAAGATGATATTAAATCAGCACTGGCTATTATAATGCCTTGTTTTTTTTTTTCAAAATAGCTGTTCATACTATCACAGATAATAAAATCAAATGATTACATTGAGATATTTATAAATAAATGGATACAACTTGAGACCATACTCATAAGTGAAATAAATGAAACTCACATGTATAATACTGTAGTCTCCCTAGTGTAAGAAATGGTCAGAGTACATAAGAGTTTATGGTAATCATGATACCCCATTACATTGCTATGAAGCCTTATGTTTGCATTCATTAGTTGGAATGAGTTTATCCTGGTTCGTTTGATTTTACTTTGCTGTTTATTGATCTGCCATCTTCCCAGCTTCTCCTCTAGGAACTTTTTGAAATTTCCAGTTATTAATGGTTTTGAATTTTTATTACTCTGTACACAAAAAGAACATTAGTGAATGTGACACACTTCTATTTACCCAGATCCTTTGGAGCACAAAAATTGACTGGCAAAATAGTACATATATATCAACAGCCTTCACCACAAAATAGAGCCAGTAGAAGGTGTGGTTACACCTGTGTGTGTTTGTATAAAATAGGACTGACTCACGTTACGGAGGCTCAGAAGCCTCACAATCTGCTATTGTCAAGCCATTGAATTAGGATACCAGTGCCATTCAATCATTCAGTTATTCATCTAATACAGTCTATTGCCAAAGACCTAACTTGAGTCCTAAAAACCAAGAATGTGTGTGTGTATGTGTGTGTCTGTGTTAGGACTCTAACACACTTTTTTGTAGCTGTGAGAACATAATATATTCTGTAACAGACCACTACTATTAGCAATGGTTATATTCTCCAGGCTGAGGCATAGACAACTTCTACTGTTTCTTCTTCCGGTTGCTTGGCATCAGCCATAGTCTGCTACCTGAGATAGCAGGTGGCTACACAGCAACGCCAGGTTCCTCTTGCTGTTTTTAAAAGTAAGGTCATTTTGGTCTTGTGATGTAACTCTCATTAAACACAGTTTTTATTTTATTTATTAGTTATTATTATTACTATTATTATTTTTTGGTACCGGGAACTGAACTCAGGACCTCTTACTTGCCTGGCAGGTACTGTGCTGCTGAGCTATTTCCTGGTCCCATGGTCTTTATATTTATTTATTTGTTTGGTACTGGGGATTGAACTTAAGACCTTGCACTGGTCAGGCAGACACTTATGCTCTGAGCTAAATCTCCAACCCTAGTTCTATAGAGCAGTTGAGTTTAGAAAAAGCTTACTTATACTCATTTAAATGATTCTTATAATCTCTCTTAAAGATGAAGAAACTGCCTCTGAGAGGGAGACTTGTGTGAAATCACAAGCTATCAAGGGCAGATAGTTTACAGTCCAGTTGTTGGACTCTTCACTAGATTCCTCCTACATTACACAAAGTATAATCCACACTCCATAAAACCAAGCAAAGCTACCTTCTACCCTAACCTAGCAAAGAAATATTTTGGGAAACATTGCTTCTGTCCAAGCGCTGTTACCACTGGGGGGCGCTGCTGCAATGAGGTGAATCTGGAGTGTAACCCTTGCATTTCATTTCCATGGAAGGCATATTCTCATCTTCACCTCCCTCTAAACACTTCTTTCTCCTCTACCTCAACCTGAGGCGAATAGGTTATTTCATAACTTGTGATTTTTTTTGCCAAACATTATGAGAAGTACTTAACCTTTACTGCTTTTTTAAATGGAGAAATGGGATTTTTAAAAAAAATTCAGAATACTGCAGGTAAATCTTGACCTAAGAAGAGGCATCTCCCAAATATTTTCCAATGTTTTTTTTTCCCATTTCTACACTATGTGGTCAGAGAACTCAAACAGTAGCTTCTTTTCCACATTATTATGGGTATCTAGCATGTTTATTACAGCACTTGGCTGATTCCTTCATAGAAAAATGTCTTTTGGATATGACTTTTTTCTGAATGCCTGGATTTCAAAAAATTAATTTTTGTGTTGTTTAGTTTGTACTATATTTTTTAAAGAAAGGTATTTACTAGTACATGTTTGCAGTATATAATGATTGCATCCATTCTGGAAAGTTGTGGATGTAGATTCTTTTTACACTCTTTTGTAACTTAAATTGCTTTCAGTTGATGCATAAAATGATAAAATATACATGTATATGGAGTACCCTGTGATCCTTTGATACAGGAATAAATTGTGTGATATTTAATTAAATCAAGGTAAACATATCCCTCTTTAAACATTTATTATCCCTTTATGGTGAAAATATTCAAAATCTTTAGTATTTTAAAATACATTCTGTGTGTATTTTTTAGTTTCATGTATTTAGTTTCATATAAGTAGTTTCATATATTTAGTTTCATATAAGTAGTTTCATATAAGTATTTAGTTTCATTTAAGTATTCATATAAGTATTTTCTTTACCATTTTAAAATATATTCTGTGTGTATTTTTTAGTTTCATATAAGTATTTCATGTAAGTATTTACCATATAAGTTTATTTTTATGATTCATAATGGATACATAGTCATTGTGAGGGCTTGCTGCATATACACGTTGCATCTTGATTCTTTTTGCTTTTCTTTCTCCTCTCTTCCTGTCTCCCATAATCCTAGATCCCTTTCCCATCTCCACAAAGTCTCTGTGTTTCTTATCATTTCTCTTTTATTTTGCTCTTTAAATTATACTTTCATGCTGGGGGTTTAGCTCAGTGGCGTAAGTGCCTGCTTGGCAAATGCAAGGTTGTGAGTTCAATCCCTGGTACCAAAAAAAAAAAAAAAAAATTTTATACTTTCTTAGAGAAGACAAACAACATGATATTTAATTGCCTGTGTCTGATTAATTTAACTCAGCATTATGGTCTCAAGATACATGCGTTTTCCTATAAAGGACTAAAGTTTATCCTTCTTTGTGGTTGAGATATTTATACATCAATCAATCATCTAGTATTTATGTATGTATATATCTTTATATCATCTATCTATCATCTATCATCTATCTATCTATCTATCTATCTATCTATCTATCTATCTATCTATCTAACTATCATCTATCTGCCAAATCTATAAGCAGTTAGACCTCAGGAAAGATCTCAAATGAAATATGGAATGCTGGGCCCTTGTACTGGCAGATTTCATCCCTGTTCTTCCTGGACAGCAGCTGAGTCTTGCAGGGAAGCTGCACTCTGCTGCTCTGCTGCCTGGTGGGTGGTGCTCTTCTAAGGACAGCCCCAGGTGACAGCTTCTAGAGTGAGCCAGGCCAGTGGCTGCCATGCTTTGTCCCTGGTTCCCTTTCTAGTTCAGGGCTGGGCTTAGCGAAATAGCCTAGAACTTGAAACCTAGGATACACCTAAAATATGGAGCAGATGACAAGAGTGACCGTCCTCCTGATCCTGGGTGAGTTATTTTAGACTAAGGGGAATTTGGATCTGGGCCTAAGGATGTTGAACAGAGGTGTTTATCCTGGCCTACTCCCAGTTGCTGTTTATCCAAGATGTTGAGGGAAACCTTTGAGTCCTGTTTTTCTCTTGGCAACTTCTAAGTCTACATGAGAAGTGTTTCAGGCCAGTAAATTTACTCTGGAATACTGATCCCTGGGTTCATTCATGGGAAAGAGAAGGCAAACTACTAACTCTACGTAGGTTGCCCTGAGTCCTCCTGGAATAAATGGAAAGAATATTTTAATCCTGGAGCACAAATGAGAAGTAAACTGTGTGTGTACGTGTGTGATGGGGAAGTCAGGGGTGAGTCAGATTCAACTGTGAGAGAGAAACATTGGGGAGGAGGGAAAGGAGCTTCTAATCCACCTCATTCCAGCACAGGCACCAGCATTGTGTTTACTCCCACAGGTACTGGGAGCCTTGCTAAGACCACTCAGCCCTTCTCCATGGACTCCTATGAGGGACAAGAGGTGAACTTGTCCTGTACCCACCCCGACATCGCTACAAGTGATAACATCGTGTGGTACCGACAAGTCCACCACCAGGGACCACAGTTTGTTATTCGAGGGTATAAGACAGACGTGGCCAATGAAGTGGCATCTCTGTTTATCCCTAACGACAGGAAGTCCAGCACCCTGAGCCTGCCCCGGGTTGCTCTGAGAGACACTGCTGTGTACTACTGCATCGTGGCTGAGACACAGTGAGACATCTGGCCCTGCACCTGTGCAGTATCCCTCTGTTGAGTGGCAGTCATGCCTGGGAAGAAGCCCCAAAGCGGGGCTTTCTCTAAACTTTCTTTTTCCATTTTTTGCAAGTGTTTGTAAAATAATTCTTATACTATTTAAACCTTCCTGTTGTTTATTTTAAATAGATATTTCATTTACATGAAAAATTGAAAAAGTGTCATAAAACTGAGTATGGTGTAGCATGTTTATTCCACTATTGTCCCTGAACACCTAACTATGATAAATGAGACAATTAGTGGTTTTTACACACTTCCTTTTTGTGCTGATGTGCCTCATTTTGTACATAGATGCACATCCATGCACACATCCATGTACTATACATACTTTATATCCACTCAACACACAATGTGGACAATATATATTCTTAGATTTTGTAAAATTTTGCCTGTCACATTATTACTTATTGTGGGCATTATTACTTATTACTTAAATTTTGAACACTTTAGTGGTCATGTTCAGGCATCTACTAGATGGATTGCATGTGTCCTCTTATGTTTCTCTGCTGCTTGTCCTTCTGTCTCACTGTCCATCTGTGGATAACGTGGAAGGGGTGATGGTAGAGGAGAATGGATTCTGATTGTGGTAGATTAACTAATGGTCAGCTTGTAACATGCAGCAGAATTAGTGTGATTCGGGGTGTGGATGGCCCACCTGAGGATTGTTTGCAACAGCATAAAAAGAAAACTGGAGAGAAAGATGGCATGCTGTTGATTCTCCTGGAGAAGCTTGTTATGCTGATTTTCTTTTTCTTATTTAATAAATAAATAAATAAATAAATAAATAAATAAACCAAGATAGAAAATGAGGGTAGAATGATACAGAATTCAACAAAAAATTAAATTAAGGAATTTCTAGTTGATACATTACAGACTGTCATCTTAGAAATAGTTGTTCAAGTTACAAAATCAAAGCATAAACATGAATAGACACTCAAACATTGTCAAGCCCTTCTATTCAATGATTCAACAAAAATTTACTAATATGGTCATCTATCTTACACTCTTACATATACAGTTATATACTTTAGAGCACTTTCCTTTCCTTTCATTTTTACAATATCTATTATACATTTTGAATCTTATTACTTTTTTAGTTTTTAGTATTCTTTACACTATAGAGGCAATGTGATTTTTACTAATGTGTGTTTTGTTAATTTCACTTATGCGGAACATCTCAACTTGCCTCCATTTACCTATAAAGGCCTCAAGATTATCTTTTTTATAGCTAAATAATATTCCATTGTATAAAAGTACCACATCTTTTTCATCCACTCTGTGGTTGGTGGACATTTTGGTTGTTTCTAAGATTTAGCTATTACAAATTGTGCTGCTATAAGCATGGGTGCACATATATCACTGTGACGTGACATTTTCAAATTTTTCTGTGAAAATACTCAGGAGGGAAATAGCTGAATTGAATGGAACTTTTAATCCTAGTTTGTTGAGGAATCTCCATACTGATTTCCAGAGTGGCTGCACCAGTCTACACTCCCACCAACAGTGGAGAAGGATTCCTTTCCCCCTGCATCCTTGCCAACATTTGCTATCAGTTGATTTCTTGATGGCAGTCATTCTTCTGGGGTGAGATGATACCTCAGTGTTGTTTTAATTTGCCCTTCTCAGATGACCAGTGATGGTGAACATTTCTTCATGTATTTATTTGCCATTTGTGTATCTCTATCTGAGAACTGTGTGTTCATCTCTGATGCCCATTTTTAGAGAGGGTCTTTGAATTTGGGGGTTTGATGCTTTTCAGTTCTTTATATGTTCTGGATATAAATCCTTTGTTTGAGGGATTGTTGGCTAAAATTCTTTCCCATTCTGTGGGTTTTGTTTTTCACTTCGTTGGTGATTTCTTTTGAAGTGCAAAAACTTTTTAGCAATATGAGATCCCAGTTGTTGGTTTTTTGCAGTGTTTCCTATGTGATTTGTGTTTTGTTCATGAATTCTCTGCCTACCCTTATGTTCCCAAGATTTCTCCCTTCCTTGTCTTCCAGTAGATTTAGTGTTTCTATTTTAATATTTAGGTCCTTGATCCAGTTTGATTTTAGTTTATCACCCAAAGGCGATATTTCCATAATTTGTCTCTCAGTGAGTTTTTCATTTGTGTACAGAAATCTATTGATTGTTGAGTGTTGACTTTGTATCTGGCAAAACTTATGAATTTGTTTATTACATCTAGTAGTCTTTTAATAGAATTTTTTGGGTCTTCTATGTAAAGTTTCATGTCATCTACAAATAATTATAATTTTAACTCTTTCTTTCCTATGTTTATTCATTTTATTTCTCTCTCTTGTCTGATTGTCCTGGTTAATATTTCCAGAACTAGTGAATAGAAGGGATGATAATGGACATCCTTTTCTTGTCCCTGATTTTAATGAAGGTTTTCAGTTTTTGACCATTTAGTATAAGGTTGGCTGTTGGTTTGTCATAAATGGCCTTTATGAGATTGAGATAGATACCATCTATTCCATGTTCCTGTAGGGTTAAATCATGAAAAGCTTTTAGGCCTTATCAAAAGCTTTTTCTGCATCTGTTGAGATGATCATGTGATTTTTTCTTTGGCTCTGTTGATGTGGTGTATTACATTTGTTGATTTGCATATGTCAAACCACCCCTGCATTCCTAGAATAAATCCCACTTGCTATGGTATAAAATCTACTTGATGATTTGCTACATTCTATTTGCCAGTATTTTATTGAGAATCCTGGCATCAATGTTCATTAGTGAGATTGGCTGATAGTTCTCATTTTCGGGTGGGTATTTCTCTGGTTTTAGTGTCAGTGTGATACTTACCTCCAGTAATGATTTAGGGAGGATTGCTTCTCTTTCAATTTCATTGAAGATTTTAAGGTGTATTGGCATCAAATCTTCTCTAAACTTCTTTTAGAATTCAGCCATGAGTTCATCAGTGCCCGAGCTTTTCTTTGTTGGTAAGTTTGTAGTCACATTTTCCATTTTGGTAGCTGATATTGGGTTGTTCAAAATTGTTATGTCTTCTTGATTAAGCTTTGGTGTTTCATATGTTTCTAGAAATCTGTCCATTTCCTCTGTGTTTTCCACTCTATGTGAGTAGAGATTTTCAAAGAAGGCGTTCGTGATCTTTTGAATTTCCATGGGATCTGTAGTAATTTCCCTCTTTTCAGTCCTTATTGTGTGAATTTGAGTTTTTTCTTTCTTTTTCTTGATAAAGTTGGCTAGATGTTTATCAATTTTGTTTATTATCTAAAAAATCAGCTCTTTGATTCATTAATTTTTGTATTGCCTTTTTAGTTTCAATTGTATTAATCTGCTCTGATCTTTACAATTTCCTCTCTTTCATGAGCTCTTGGTTTGCTCTTTCTTTTCTAGAAGCTTGACATGTAGCATTAGGTTATTTATCTGTGCTCATTCTATTTTCTTGATGTGACAATTTATTGCTATATATTTCCCTCTTAAGGCTCCTTTCATTGCATCCCATAGGTTACAGTATATTGTATCTGCATTTTCTTTGAATTGTAAGTATTGTTTTATTTCTTCTTTAATTTCAACTGTAACCCACTGGTTGTTCAATGTGGGGAACCCTGCAATTGGCCATTATCTTATGTTAATAAGACAACAGGTATCTTAATGTTACGTTTCTATTCAGTAGTTAAGTTTCTATCTCTCCTCACCCAGCCTGTTTTTCTTTAGGTCACATGTCCCTGTGGTTTGGCCCATTCAGGGATTATGCTAATCAGCCTGCTTTATGGGCCCACAAGCAGGAGATTGGAGTTACCCTATAGCCCCTAGAACTTCCCACTGCTGCTAAGTTACCTGCTGATATATCAGAACCCAACCCCTTCCCCAATACCCTATATATTCGTTACTCTTTCTTTGAATCAGAGCACTTTCTTTCTTGATCAGAGCACTGTCTTGTCTCCATTCTTCATGTCTCTTGTCTCTTCCAATCCCTACTCCCCTTCTAGGGTCTCCATGGATTTACCTGCAGGTCAGGATAGTTCAGGAGATTTTTATTTAATTACCATGTATTACTGCTGGTTTTGCAAATTTTTTACCATTGATTTCTAATTTTATTGTGTTATGGTCAGATATGCATGGGATAATTTCAATTCCTTTGAATTTGCTTAAGAATGTTTTATGGGTTAATATATGATCTATTATGGAGACTGTCCCAGGTGCAGCTAAGAATGTATATTTTGATGTGGTTGGGTTGAACACTCTGTAAAGGTCCACTAAGTCCATTTGCTCACAAGTATGATTCAGTTCTGTTATTTCTTTGATGTCTTTTTGTCTAGTTGATCTATCTTTCTGTGATGGTGAGGTGTTAAGGTCCCCCATTACAATTGTGTTCTTCGTTTTTCATTTCCATTAGTAATTGTCTTATATAGTTGGGTGCTCCTGTATTTGGTGCATATAGATTATAATTGTTAGTTCTTCCTCTTCAATTTTTCCACTAATGAATATGTAGTGGCCTTCTTTATCTGTTTTAATTTTTTTAGGTTTGAAGTTCATTTTGTCTGCAAACTGAAGAGCTGCTTCTGCTTTTTTCTGGGTTCTTGTTGCATGGAATAGTGTTTTCCCTCCTTTGACTTTTAATCTGTGAGTTTCCTTTTGAGTTAGATGTGTTTCTTGTGTGCAGCATATTGTGGGATCCTGTTTCTTGATCCATTCTGTCAACCTGTTTCTTTTGATAGGTGAATTGAGGCCATTTACTTTTATGGCTATAACTGATATGTAGTAACTCAACTGTGCTGTTATGTTCCAGTTTGTTTTCTGCTTTTCCTCCTTGTTTAATTTCTTGCTCTGCCTTGTGGTTTCTTTCTGCTGTTGCCCTGGAGATTGTGGTCATTTTTATCTCTATCTAGTATATCTTTCAGTACTCTTTCTGGTGTTGGTTTGGTGGACATGAATTTCTTCAGGTGTTCTTTGTCATGGGAGTATCTTGTTTCTCCATTAAATGTGAAAGACAGTTT